TCAAAGCTCAAATTACATATTAAAACAAGATAGACAAGATATTCACTTATGAAAATCGATCGGTTTTTGTCTATCTATATTGAAAATAATTAGTTTTCTTATTAAATTCCGCCCAAAAAAATCGATAAGAAAAATACGATAAAAACCTTATCTATTATTGCATGTTCAAAAAAAAAGAAATATCAATTTCACGACATCGAATAGAAACAAATTCTTTCTACACACACAAAAAACTACTACTGATCTTACCTGTATATTATCGCATGCTATGATTCGAAGTCGAATGAGGAGAGAGAAAGTAAAAGAAAATGTATTCGTTCTTTTATAAGACATGCAATGCAAAAGAAGATAGAAGGATAATGGGATAGAAATACCATACTGATGAATTCCATCGTAAATGGAATTTCACCTTGTATGACTTAAATATATACTCATGCATCTGGTGGATCGATAAGCGGCTTTAGTAACAATGCCTACCATCATGACAATTTACAGATGTTTGTACGACTAAATATAATATATTAATAGTGATCGTCGAAGAAACTAAAAGGTCATTGTCATGTTTTGTTTGCTCAAGAGAATATAACAATGAATTGACTGATCCCATATAGTTGTCTGTATATTAAAATGAACTCTAGAAGAAAACGAATGGAATAAATCGACATTTATTTTTAGGGAACTCTCTCACACGCGCGATCGACTAACGAGCAATTAAAGATGATTAGTTGACTGATAAAGAGTGTGAACGACAAAGTTGACGAATATAGACAGACACGCACACAGACGAGTGTATGTTCAAGAATGGGTGACAACAACGACGAGATTTTTTTCTTTTTTGTCTTTGCCTCTCTTCACGCCATCGATTCATTGTACATAGATTAACACGAACATGTACCATTGACACTTTTCACACATCTACACGCATATATTCATTCATCACACACACACATACACGCTCGCTGTGGAAATCCTTGTGGAAATCATCTCTATTCTCTTTGTTTGACCAACTGTTCTAATGGATATTTCTCGTTCGATCATGCCTATCGAATTATTCAAGCTTCTATTGCATTTATATATATATATATATGGTTACGAAATATTCATGCAATCTTATGTTTCATGAGAGACCTTCGTATGTGTTAAGAGGAACAAAATTGAACCTACTATCATTACCCATCCATGCTTTTTGACTACATAGAATATATTACACTTCGCTATTGATTAAAATGAACACAGCAGCGCAAATTGTTTGTTCATACACCGAGACGAATAGAAGAGAACTGTTAAGATGATGATGGCGTCGTTGTCGTTGTTGGCGAACCATTCATCATCGTCATTCGAACGTATCTAATTGCGAGGGATGGCGTGTTGGTACTCAACTGTCCATCTTATAATAATTACATCATAGAAAAAAAAAAAGAAACAATAATGCGAAATAGAAAAGAAGAGTATGTATACGATACATAATAATGACTTGAACAGCTTACGATGAAGGATTTTCTCATCGGGCCTTTTATCCTATATATCCGTTTCTCTTTTTTTTTCTTTCTTATTTCTTTTCAAATATGCTTATTGTAAAAGAAAAACAACAACTTAGAGATTAGCTTCTCATCTTTTTCCGCAGATATATACAGATAAAGATTGTAAAACTCATATAATAAAAACCTATCCACATATGCGCCTAAGGCAAACCGACAATAATTTCCGTCCTTGTCGCTCGTGCTAAAACAATTAAATGAAAAATGTATTGCTTGATGATTGTCACGCTAGTGAGAACATGCCTCGAGCTGTTCAATATTCATCATATAAAAACTATAGGTACATTCAATATCATACATATGTGATTTAGTATAAATAGCAAATTTATCTTTTATTTCATTGTCAACTACTCTGTGATCTTCTTTTTGTCTACCGATTGAATATAATGTTCAAAATGTGTTAGTGATCAGTTTTCCCGTAGGCTATATTCATTGACAATGACCTTTTGCTTGAATAAAGTTCGTTTATATTAATGTATCTATCATCATATATGCTCTTTGAACGAACAGCTAGAGAGAGAGGGAGACAATTTAGGTAGGATATATAACTGATATCAGTTGTTTTCTTTGCATAATGAATCAATTTATTTTCAGGCAAAATTCATGAATAAACATATACAAATATCATCTTTGCCCTCCCTCTCTCTCTTTTTCTATTTGCATGATAATACAATATGTTTGATTGAGAAAAGTAGAGGATCAAGATTTCAATTATCAACTTTGATATAATGAATATAAGACTATAATATAGTGTCAACACTATTTTTTCTATCTAAAGGGAAATATGCTTGAATGAAAAACAAAATTGATTATTTGTTTATCATACGTACACACACAACAAGCAGATATTCAAATATATAGCTATGTGTGTATTCTATTATTTAATAGAATGTTTTCATATCATAAACAAAACAATCGTAATTGGTAGAGACAAAAAAAAATTCTTATATTGTATATAAAATAAAAACACATGTGTAACGTGTGAATTGGTTTATATAGAGAAAAAAAAATTGTTTGGGAAAAATGATTTCATATGTATACACACTTGTCTTGTGTCAAATTTTTCATTTTCAACTGATTAATTCAATTTAAAAGATGTATAGGAATCAAAAATATAATTCTTTTGAGAGAATATGTATGTTAATTTTTACATGAATACATGAAAGATTAAATTATCACGTTTCGTTTATTATAGACGATGTTACGTGACTGTATGATCATATTCAATGGCTTCATTCATTTCAACGATGAAGCAAAACTAGATCTAATTATTAATAGTGATGATAGACAGTAGTAAAATAATGTTTTTTCTTTGTAAGGCTACGGTTTTATTTGAATAAAAGTGAATTCTTAGTATTGATACGACATATATATATAAGAAAAAAAGATTGAAGTATCATTAAGAACTAAGATATGTTCAATTTCAATACATGTGATCTATTGTGTTGTTGTCAAGATTTCGAACTATTCGATAAATGTAAGAATCACTTGAAAAGTTTCGTCAAAAAAGAAAGAATGAAAGAACATTTTATGTATGTATATTTCTATAATGAAAACTTATAGTTTTTGTTTTATAATAGATCATTAACTTCCATTATGAAATTGAACTAGTATATTACTTCTATTTTGTTATATAAAACAAACATTTTAACAAGAATCTAATTTAGAAATTTAAGTTCGGTTCGAAACGCTCACGGGACAAATATAAACTCGATGCTTGAAAGTTCATATCGTTAAAGGATATATATTCTTGATAGTTTAATTGCTTTATAATAATGTAAGATGTTTTCTTTCACTTAGTATCATCAAGAGTTTGTTTTTTTTGTCTATTAATATATTCCATTTTAATATATATATATATATATTGATGTGAAGTGCATTGGTAGTTCGAGAGCTTGATACTTATGTCGGATTTTTGCTGTTTTAAGTTTTGTTGCAAATCATTAAAACAATTATGAACCTTCCTTATGCTTTCATACACATGATAGATCGTATAAAAAAAATCGATAAAATCAACCATGATGTATATATATATACGTATCGATGTATATGACATTGAAGAGTTTGTAAAAAATTTAGTTTGATTAATACGATACACTCATCGAGGAAATAAAGAAATATATATTAAAATTTTCTCTACTGGAAGTCGAAAAGCAATTATTGAACATTGAAATATGTAAATCATTCTTTTGATGTATTTTGAAAAGCATTATTTGCAATAAAATATATAGTCATCTATATACAGTGTTTTTAATAGGAATCTGAAGTAAAATACCTTTCGGCACGTCGAATGTGTAGCCAAAGTACCATACCGTGCCAAAGGTCAAGAGAATACAGACAAAGATTTTACTCTTCATATATTGTCATGAAGAATTAGTTCGATAGAAAAAATAATGTAAACGAAGTAAAACATATACCAACGATAATCATAATAAATACAGTTGTTTGCAAGAAAATTTGGAAAATATTTTATTTTCAAGGCAGCTATTTTTCTACTGTTACAAATGGATATAAAACTGATTTTTCCAGAAATAAATCCTTGAGAGACATACTACATGTTGTATATATAAAATTGTAATTTGTTTCCCCTTTCGTATTTTTACAAGTCATTCAAAAGAATATGAAATTATACTATTGTCTGCCGCTCTTCGTGGGCTAACTACCATATTATAAACTAATTCGAAAAGCACTGGTATAGGAGAAGATATTTGTAGAAGAAGGTTTCCAAGCTTTTTTGCAAACAACTGTAAGAAATAAATATGCTACGATAAAAATGGATTGAATAACCTGTTTAGTAAAAAACAATAATCTCTACGACCAGCAGCAGATAATAAATCTCGAAGAAGAATGAACTATCTTAGCTCCAACCACAAGTAAAAAAGTAATTTATGAATAAGCTATAGTATAACCAATAACCAAAGTACTTTTTCATTTAACAAAGTGCCATCTTGGTACTTTATTTTTTTCAGCAAACTACCAAATACCGTGCTTTTTCAAATTTTACCGTGCCGCTCGCACTTTGCTAACCCACTCGACACGCGCTATTAAAAACACTGATAATTTATATATGATTATTTAATAATTTGTTAAACTTAAAATCTAATCATATGATCAACATCAGATATTTGCAGATTCTACTTTCAATCTAGAATAAAAAGACGTTAGTCTCTAGCGACATCTTTAATATTAAATATAGAGAGTCATGTTTTTTTGTTTACTTGAAATTTCAGTTGATAATATCTTTTAAAACATTAGAATATTTAATTAAAATTAAAATAAAATACTAAAAGGAGGTAAATCTCATTTTCTTTCCTCACGCCTATCAGTAAACATTTTAAGTAAAAACTAACAATTGATAAATTCTGGAAATGGATTCATATAACAGTCTGTTTATTTTCGAAGTTTAATAAACTACCCTTTTGATATTATAGTTGTAGCCTACAAGAATAAGAACAACAAAGGATGACTACTTTTAATGGACCAGATTATTTCTGGAAAGGTGCTCAAACACTTAAAGTACCGATGGAATTATTTAAATTAAATCGTCAACGTCTTTGTGAAGCATTACGTGCTCATCGAACATTACCATCGGAATCATTTGTTTTTTTACAAGGTGGTGCAAGTGAAATGCGTTATTGCAGTGATCATGAACCATTATTTCGTCAAGAATCATATTTTCATTGGGCATTTGGTGTGATTGAACCAGATTTTTTTGGTGTAATTAATGTTCATAATGGCGAATCAATATTATTCATACCACGTTTGCCATCATCCTATGTTGCATGGATGGGTAAAATCAAAGAAACTGATGAATTTAAAAAAATCTATCATGTTGATCATGTTTATTATGTTGATGAATTGGAAAAAGTTTTTAATGAAATTGTTGGAACATCGAAATTAATTCTGGTATTAAATGGTTTAAATACCGATAGTGGAAAAGAATCGAAAGCAGCTAGTTTTGAAGGAATGGACAAATTTCATGTTGATAAAACAACATTACATCCAATTATTAGTGAATGTCGAGTTTTTAAAACGGATTTAGAATTGGATGTTATGCGATATGCTAATAAAATTAGTTCAGAAGCACATAAATTTGTTATGCTCAATATTAAAGATGGTAGGTACAGATTTTCAGATATTACAAAAAATGATTATACATTTTAGATGTAGAATTTTCGTAAGTTTATTTTTACTTACAGAAAAAAGATAAGAGATTGAGATAGTCACTTGACATTGGTTTGATTTCGATGAATTGACCTTTTTATTCAATGTTTCATCGTTAGTCAACAAATAATAAAGTTTAGAGGAAAATATTAATTTACTAATTGAACTTTGGAATCAGAGTTTTAATATGATTAATTTCAATAGAAAGTAAAATTTATTTTCAAGTCTAGTTTTATCCGTAAAAAAATAATTGATAATCGTTGATCAAGCCCCACCTTATATGATAACTCACTATTGAAAATATTTTATCTATCAATTTCTATTTTCTTTTACAGGAATGCATGAATATGAACTTGAAGCATTATTTCAATATTATTGTCAACGTCATGGTGGTATGCGTCATATGTCTTATACTTGTATTTGTGCAACTGGTGAAAATCCAGCAGTACTTCATTATGGTCATGCTGGTGCACCTAATGATCGTCAATTAACATCAAAGGATATGTGTTTATTCGATATGGGTGGTGAATATTATTGTTATGCATCAGATATAACTTGTGCCTTTCCAGTATCTGGTCATTTTACCAAAGAACAACGAATCATATATGAAGCTGTTCTTGATGCAAATCGTCAAGTAATGAAAAGTGTTCGACCAGGTGTATCTTGGACTGATATGCATTTAATAGCTGAACGTACACAACTTGAACATTTAAAAGCTGCTGGTCTTATTCAAGGTGATATTGATGAAATGATGAATGTTCGTTTATGTTCTGTATTTATGCCACATGGTCTTGGACATATGATTGGCATTGATACGCATGATGTTGGTGGTTATCCTGATCCACAAACACGTTCATCATTACCTGGCTTAAAATCATTACGAACAAATCGTTTATTACAAGAACGTATGTGTTTAACAATTGAACCGGGAATTTATTTTAATCAAGGTTTAATAAATAATGCATATGAAAATGAAGAATTTAAGAAATTTTTAAATCGTGATGAAATCAATAAATATTTACATGTTGGAGGTGTACGAATTGAAGATGATATTGTTGTTACAAATAATGGTTGTGAATTGTTAACAGTTGTTCCACGTACTTGTGATGAAATTGAAGAATGGATGAAATATAATGATAAACAAGTTATTGACAAAATTGATTATAAATTATTTGATGAATTAAATAAAAAACATCAATATAAAAACCAAGATTTAACAGTAAAAAACAAGTAATACTTCAAAAGTAAACGAATGTGTAATTTTTATCAGTTATCTTTTTTTTTTCTACAATCAAATTTTATGCCTTTGTGATTTTGAATTTAATTTGTTTGTTTTTTTCTGAAAGAAGTTTATACATATATATACTCTGATTTTGATTATTTTGCTTTTAGATATAAGATATTATTTATGGCACATATTTGGAGATATATCGATACTAATATAATGATAATTTTTGATAAATATCATATTGAATATTATATTTTAGATTGAATATTCTAACTATTTTCAATCATCATTATGGCTCCTCCTGCTACAGGTAGTGCAACGACTAAAAAGTCAACAACAACAACAATTAAGACGACGACAACGTCAAAAGCATCGTCTTCAACTGGCAAATCAGGTGGTGCATTGAAAAAAGGCAAAAAGAAAATCGCCGCTGCTCCACTTAAATCGAAAGTTGAATCAAAGAAACTTGTCAATCCTTTATATGAAAAACGAGCAAAGAATTTCGGTATTGGTCAAGGTAATAATATAAAATCAAAATTTCTTTTGTTTTTTCAGTTTAAATTTGTCTTTAAATAGATATTCAACCAAAACGTGATTTAACACGTTTCGTTAAATGGCCACAATATATTCGTGTTCAACGACAACGTAGTATTTTACTTAAACGTTTGAAAGTACCACCACCAATCAATCAATTTACTCAAACACTTGATAAACAAACATCAACACAATTATTTAAATTACTTGAAAAATATCGTCCAGAATCACGTGCCGAAAAAAAACTTCGTTTAAAACAACGTGCTGAAGAACAAGCTAAAACAAATAAACCAGATCGACCAACAAAACGACCAAATGGTCTTCGTAGTGGAATGAATACCGTTACTTCATTAATTGAAAAAAAGAAAGCTCAATTAGTATGTTTAAACATCGATAAATTATCTCGATTTATTTTTATTTTTTTCTTATAGGTTCTCATTGCTCATGATGTTGAACCAATTGAACTTGTTCTTCATTTACCAACATTATGTCGTAAAATGGGTATTCCATATTGTATTGTTAAAGGAAAAGCACGTCTTGGTCGTCTTGTTCATTTAAAAACATGTTCATCATTAGCTTTAACTGATGTTAATACCGAAGATAAATCTGGCTTAGGTAAAATCATCGAAGCTGTTAAAACTAACTTCAATGATCGTTATGATGAATTACGTCGTCATTGGGGTGGAGGTGTTTTGGGTAATAAATCTCAAGCACGTATCAACCGACTTGAACGTATTAAATCACGTGAAGCAGCACATCAAAGAAATACCTAAACAAATCAATTCAATGTGCTTAAAACAACAGCAACAAGAAGATTTAATAAATGAAAAAAAATCTAAAGAAGAACTTTTCTTGTTTTATTTTGTGTGTTTTTGTTTTGATTATAAAAAGATCAGAATTTTTCGAATAAATCTACACACACAAATATGAACTGAAAAGATAATAAAAATAAAAACTTAACATTTTATTTTCTCTTCATTTATTTAGATAAAATAAAATATATGAACGCAGGAGAAGACAAAAAAACATTTACTGCACAACTAATTTAATATACATATATTAATACAAGTGGAATACTTCTATTTAATTTTGAATGTAATCAAAATTTGATAAGTCGACAGGAGATAATTTCCTATAGAGAGAGTTCCAATGAAATGTTAGCTCAACGATTTATAACAGTGCAAAAACAAAATATTTACAATCGACCTTTTTTTCCGATATTTTCATAAAAGAAATTAATCTTCATTAGAATATAATAAACTATATTAATAAGAATGTACAACTTTTTTTCTTTTTTGATAGACAATGAAATAATAAATCTCATGAACTATCTATATTGGATCATGAATTCGATAGAATGCTTCTACTTGTTGTTTAAGAGCTTATAGAATATAGCAAATTTTCTATCGTATCTCTAATATCAGTTGAAAGCATGATGGTTCTTGATAGGTATAGTACACGGGGGCGTAAGTCAGGTGTCAGAGCGGGGGGGGGGTGTATGCAGGGGGGCGCAACCCTAATTTTTCTATTTTAATGGGCAAAAAAAGTGAACTTTCTAGAAGTAGGGGGGGGGCGCAAACCCCTTTTTTCCTATTAGTTTTCGGAAGCAGGGGGGGGGGGGGCGCCGCGCCCCACGCGCCCCCTCCCCTATTTACGCTCCTGATAGTACATACCATATTTGATGAAATAAGTCTTTTTCATACTTCAGTAAAATCTAGGTAGTTTAAATAGGTTTCGTTAGCGTTAGATAAATCATATGCAATATAAATAAATTCTTTTTTTTTTATATTTCAGATAAATATTCGAGTATGTTTTTTTAAAAAAATTTCACGATGCAGAAAAAACGCGTTCAAGTAAATAAATAAATTTAATATTGAACATAAACCCAAATTTTTCTTTAGTTATCATTTCTTATACGAAATGAAAATGAACGTCTGCATCGTGGTGGAATCAATGCATTGCGGTATGATCCAAAGAATGATCGACTCTACACCGCTGGACGTGATTCAATAATTCGAGCATGGGATTGTAAACGTTATGGCGTATGTTCTTCTTTAATCAATAAAAGAAAAAGTTCTAGTTTTTATTTTAGTCTGATATGTATGAATATTCAATGGAACATCATACCGATTGGGTAAATGATATTGTTCTTGTTAATTCTGGCAAACATAGTAAGAATATTTTTTAATACGAAAATTAACAAATAGATTTTTTATATTTTGAAATATTTCAGTACTTTCAGCATCAAGTGATGCAACAATTAAATTATGGAATGCACCAAAAGGAACATGTATGTCAACATTACGAACACATAAAGTAAAAATTAATTGAATTCGATTTTTTTGTTCTAATAAATTTTCTTAATTAAGGATTTTGTTAAATGTCTAGCCTATGCAAAAGATAAAGAACAAGTTGCAAGTGGAGGTTTTGATAATAATATTTTCTTATGGGATATAAATGTTTTAACAGCTTTAACTGCTGTAAATAATACTGTAACAAGTAAATATAAATCATTTATATTATCGTTTATAAAAATACGAAATTTTTAGCTTCAACATTTACTGGCAATGAACATTCTGTATATAGTTTAGCCATGAATCCATCGGGTACAGTTTTAGTTAGCGGTTCACCAGAAAATGTGGTATATTTATTTTATAAAAAAATATTTTCATTCTCACTACTAATTTTTTTAGATACGTGTTTATGATCCGAGAACATGTGCATTATTAATGAAATTAAAAGGTCATACAGATAATATTCGTGCATTAGTTCTAAATCGAGATGGAACACAAGTATAGAAAAAGAAATTTTGTTTTGTTAAATAAAAACTCAATAAATTTTCTTTTATTCCTAGTGTATATCAGCTAGTTCTGATCATTCGATTCGTATATGGTCACTCGGACAACAAAGATGTATTAGTAAACTTCAGATACATTCAGATGCTGTTTGGACATTATGTGTATGTAATTAAAAAGCTTTTTTTCTTCTGATTAATTTAATAATATTTTATAGGTTAATGATACATTTACAAAACTTTATTCAAGTGGACGTGATAGAAAAGTTTATGTTACGGATTTAATGGATACATCAAGAAGTGTTTGCGTCTGTCAAGAAGCAGAACCTGTTCTTCGAGTAAAACAATCATTATTCATAGTCTTGATAATATATTATATTTAGGTTGAACTTGGCAAAGAACAACATCAATTATGGGTTTCAACAACCGAATCAAATATACGTTGTTGGGTAATATAGAATTATTATTGAAAATAATTATGCAAAATTTATTTTTTTCTATTAGAATTTAAAAGATAGTCATGCAGCATTAACTCGTACGAATTATTTTGATGGTGAAGTGATATGTAAACAACCAGATATGATTATACAAGGTGGTCCAGCACTTAAACATTATCATATCTTATCTGATAAACGACATATTATTACAAAAGATTCAAATAATAATGTTGCTGTTTATGATGTTCTACAAGTAATTTATCTAAAACGAAACATTTATTTCTATTCACATATTTATATTAATAGGCTCGTATGATAGAAAATCTTGGAAAATGTGATTATGAAGAAGAAATACGAAAACGTACAAAAACTATTTTTGTACCTAATTGGTTTAGTGTAGATCTCAAAGTTGGCGTAAGTCGATTTAGAAAATCCATTGAAAAAAAATAATTTCATATTTTAATTAGATTTTAACAATAACACTTGAAGAAAGTGATGTTTTTGCTGCTTGGATTGCTGTCAAAGAACTCGTAGATAATGGAGCAACTGCAAATAATAATGAAGTTACTGATCTTAAAGGTAGATTAATAAAAAAAAAACAACTGATTTATCATATTTAAATTTTATTTAGAAAATTATGGTGTTTTAATGTTACATTCACTTTTCGAACATTGGCCTGTAACACGACAAGCATTAGGTATTTCAAAAAAACAAATAACATTGATTTATAATACTCTTTATTCTAGAAGCAAATGATGGTTATGCAGAACGAATTCGTTTTGATAATCTTTGTCATTTACCTGGACATACACCTATTTTTGTTGGGTATATTAATTTTGATTAAAATTCGAATTTTTTTATTTAAAAACTAAATAGAGAAATTGGTGGTCGTACACTCTATCGTTTTCGATGCAGTGAAGCAGGCGGTGATCCTGAACAAAGTTTTCTATATGAAGTTTTACCCCAATTTATTTCAAATGTTATTATTAAAGTTAGTTTATTAGAAATATTTCATTTATTTCTAATCATCTTCTGTTTTTCGCTTTAGCATCAAATTCCTCCACTAACAAAAATTCCATTTATTCTTCATCATCAAATTAGTAACACAAAATATAACAAAAAGTTATTATTTATAATCCATTTATCTTGTTTTTAAAGTATATGTTTTTTTTTAAATTTATTTCAGAGATCGTTTATCAGCAAGTGATATGATGATTGTACGAAAAGTTATTGAATATATTTATGAACGATATGTTCTTAATGAACAACAACAGCAGCAACAGCAACAACAACAACAGCAGCAGCAACAACAGCAACAAAATACATCTGTGACAACAGCTGGAAATGGATTAAGTAAATTATTTTTTATAATATTGAATGAAGTCTTACTTTCTTCTCTGAAATAGATCAACATGAGAGTAATGGTGAACAACAACGTGAATCAGATATTAGTAAAAGTGTTGATCATATTGAATTATTATGCCAAGATCAAGTATGAAAAATATTCTTATTTATTTTTCTAAAAATATTCGTTCTTTTTTTTTCTAGATTTTGGATTTATCAATGGATTTACGGACTGTTAAACATTTTATGTGGAAAGGAGGTGGAGATCTCGTTTTATGTTTTCGTACAAAATCATAATCCTTTTCTTTATTTTCATTGTATCATGATTTTAATTTTTGTATATTTCGGCTTCTTATCGTAAATTCTTTTTTTTTGCTTAAATTGAACTAGTCATAAATTTGTATGAATTAGAGCAAAACATTAAAAATAAGAAAAGTGACAATATTAGAATAATTTTTCCAGATAATCATTGTATTCGAGTATCGAATAAATCATGGCGAACAATATGATACCGGAAACAATGCTTATGTCAGGTAATTAAATGCAATCATTATTAAATTAACAATGAGACATAAAAGATAGATTAAATCTGAATTACGATCTTCAAGTATAGTGTGAATATTCGAAATCTATGATGAAAAAAACTTGAAAAATTTATTGTATATGTTGTCCATATTTTCTATCTACATCATTCGAATAAACAACGCTATAACTCTAACAAGTAACGCTCGTCCGAGCACTCGCTTAACTCTTTCTGGTAGAAATGCATTTTCTTCACATTTACTGAAAAAACAAATGAAAATCGTGAAAAATTGATTTGTGATGTTTTTTGACCCCTCTTCACTCGGTCACCCAATAGTTCTCAGATTCGAACTCCCCGCATCGAATTACCTATAGAAATGTCTTTTCCTGAAAATCGGTCTTCGATGTTTTTTTGACCCTGCGGACACACAAGCAAACAATTTATGTTTCTAAGACTCTTGTCTACGAGAAAGAGAATAATCGAAACTTTGTCAAAATATCAAATATGAAATCATTGTTAATAGAACATTTGAGTTAAAAGAGATCATATAATACTATGTGTATCTACATCTGATTCAATTTTTGATAATAAGAAAGGATTTTGTCGAAGATAATTTTTTTATTTATCTTTATACAATCAGTTTAAATCCATTGTATAAGAATTTTTCAATATATTCTAGGTGTGACAGTCGATTTTCCTTATAAACCATATCCATGTCAAATAGCAATGCTTGGAAAAATAATAAAAGCTTTACAACAATCGAAAAATTGTCTTCTTGAATCACCAACAGGTACTGGAAAAACATTAACTTTATTATGTGCTGCATTAGCTTGGCAACAAAAAGAAATTGAACAAATACGATTATCATCATCAGTAAACGATAGTACAGATAAGCCAGCAGAATCAACAACAACAACAACAAAACAAACACCAATTTCACGTATATTTTATTGTACTCGTACACATAAACAACTTGAACAAGTTGCTAGACAACTTACTCAAACAGTTTATAAAGATAAAATTCGTATGACATTATTATCATCACGTGATAATTATTGTATACATCCAATTGTATCTAAAGGACCAAATAAAAATTATGAATGTCGTAAAGTAACAAGACCAGATAAACAAAAATTTGGTCAATCAAATTTTAAAAGTGAATGTGGATTTTTCGAACGATTAAAAGGTAAAACAGCTAGCGATTTTTTTCGACCACTCGGTACAAAACAAATACCACGTGTTTTTGATATTGAACAATTTAATTCATTTTGTCAAACAACACATGCTGTTTGTCCATATTATACAAGTCGTTTATTAATCAATGATGTACAAATAATATTATGTCCATATAATTATCTTATTGATCCACGTGTAAGAAATTCAATGCAAATGTCAGTTAATCATTCAATTATTATTATTGATGAAGGTAAAAAATAATTTAAATAGAAAAACAAAAATTCCAATTTAGTTTTTTTTATTTAGCACATAATATTGAAGATTGTGCACGTGAATCAATGAAATTTGATATGAGAAAATATGATTTTGATTTAGCATTAGAAGAAATACATATGAATCAAAAAGCACTTGAAATGGCTCAAATAAAAGCTGCACAATTAATTGTAAATGAAACAGGTTTTTCTGCAACACAAGAACCAATATGTGATACACAATTAAATTCCACTCAACAACAAACAACACGTCGTACACCTGGTTATTCTGAAATGGATCAATTAGATGAAGAAAATGATTTACTTGAACATTTAAATATTGATCAACTTGGAAATAATCAAGAACAAACATCGGATGTAAAATCTGATGATCAAGCTGTTGCAAATGCATTAAAATTTCTTGCTGAAAGATTTTCTCGAATACTTTTATGGTTTGACACAAAAGATCCACGAGAAAAATATACATTTACACCAAAAGAACTTGTTGAACAATTCCATCAAGCAAAATTTATTGATCGATCAATTGTAAATGTACATAAACCAGCAACGTATGTTAAATAATAAAGAACAGTGTTTTATCCAGCGGATGGGCGGCGCCCACCCGACAGTTCGATTCACACAACCGAGAAAAGAAATTTGGATAAAACACTGATAAAGAATAAGCAATATTTTTCTTTATCTTTTGTTTCATGTATTTTAGAAAAAATCAACCAGCAAGTAAACGCGGTGTCATTCAAGATGCTAGTCGAATACGAAAGGCACTATCTAAAAGCATTTTGAATGCACCAGAATATATTAAATTTTCAGATGAAACTGCAAATTTTTTAGAAGATCTTGATCTGTAAGATTTTTTAATTAACCTTGTTATTATTTTCTATGTCCTATTGTTTAGCTGTTTATCTGTATTATATTCTGATGATTATCAATTTTTTGATGATTATAAAATCACATTAAAAACAATTCCATTTGAACCAAGTGCAAGTGCAGTTGCACAAATGCAACAATCATCTTCAAATTCAATGGATATGCCTAATAATGAATGGACTGATATGAGTCAAAAATCGACTCAATTAAAACGACATCAATATAACATAATGAAAACAACATATCCACTTCATACACAACAATTAACATTCTATTGTTTATCACCAAGTGTTGCATTTGCTAAAGATTTAAAATTAGCTCGATCGTAAGTTTTCTTTAATAGAAACAAGAAAAATTGAATTTTTTTCTGAAGTTTAATTTTTGCATCGGGTACACTTGCACCATTAGCAACTTATTCTGGTGAATTAAAAATTCCATTCGATATTCAAATGGGTAAAAACAAAATTATTATTGTCTCGAAATAATTTGTTTTTATTTAGAATGTAATCATGTTATTGATGTACAACGTACATTTATAACAGCATTAGGTCATGGACGAAATTCAAATATAAAATTACGAGCAACATATCAAAATACAGATAAATTTGAATTTCAAGTAGATTTTTTTGTTTAACAAAATTTTTATTGAAAATTAATTTTTTTCTAAGGATGAATGTGGTCTTGTTCTACTTGATATTTGTCAACGTGTACCATATGGTGTACTTTGTTTTGTACCATCCTATCGATTTCTTAATGTAATTATTACTCGTTGGACGTCAAGTGGACTTTGGAAACAATTAAATGAACATAAATCAGTTTTTTTTGAAGAAAAAAGTAGTGCGAATTTTCAAAATACAATTAGTAAAATTTTCTTTTTTTTGTTTTAAAATATTGCGAACCTTTTTTTTTATCTTAGATCTATTTCGTGAAGCAAATGGTACATTAAAAATTGTTAAAGAACTATCAGCAAATGCCAAACGTGTTAATGCTATGTTTAAACGAAAAAAAACTTCAGAAGAAGTATCAACAACAAATTCACCCTATTTTACAGCTAAAGGTGGTCTTTTATTAGCTGTTTGTCGAGGCCGAGCATCTGAAGGTATCGATTTTTCGGATAATAATGCTCGGTGTGTCATAACACTTGGAATACCATATCCAAATGTTCAAGATGAAGAAGTGATTTTTAAACGAAATTATAATAATGAACAAAATAAACGTGTACCACAAATAATGAACGGAAGTGATTGGGTTTGTTTATATTAGATTTATAATTGGATCTTATTTTTTTTGTTTAGTATGACTCACAAGCATATCGTGCTTTAAATCAAGCACTTGGAAGATGCATTCGTCATAAAAATGATTGGGGAGCATTAATTGTATGATTATATTTTTTTTATTTGAAGAAATTCTTATTTTGATTTTAGATTGTTGATGAACGAATTGTTAATAATATGCAGGATAAACATTTTAATAACAAAATATCTCTGTGGATTAAACAACGTTTATTTATTTCACGTAATTATGATGTGACAATGAATGCTTTGGAAAAATTTTCTACAGATATGAAAAAAGCCGATGAATTACTAATACTTCAAAATGAACAACAACAACTACAAATACAACAATCAGAAAAACAATTAAATGATGATGAACAACGACGATTTAGTTTAATTGTACCGCCATTAACTGGTAAATAGAATATTCATGTTACAGTATTACTGTAATGTTAAATAAAATAAATATTTGATTTGTTTCTTTTTATAGATATACCAAAAAAAACGGAAAAAAAGAAATGGAATTATCGACAATGGAACATTGGAAATTTAACGGATGATGATGATGAGGAGGATAAAAAAGAGAAGGAAACGATTATTAAACAAAACAAAAGTCGAACATTTTCAAAGTTTGTTGCTAAACGTCCAATAGCTATGCCACCACCATCTCAAGTACAAAATGTAATCGATATAACAGATGATGAAGATGAAAATATGAAAAATTGTCAAAAATCTGATACTCAATATTCAACATCAACACCTCCAGTACCAATATTATCTCAAAAAATCAATTCATTTCAATCACAATCAATTATTGATATAACCGACGATGATGATGATTTTATTCAATCAACAGCTTCATTTTCTTCACGACCAAATAAAAAAAAACTTAAATCGACATAAAATTTGTTTAGTCAGATAATAATTAATCTATATTTTTTTACTTTGTTCATTTTATTATCTCTGTGTTATAAAACTGCGATCTTGTATATATTATATCTTAATATCCGGTAAATATTCTATTCTTTTTGAGAAAATTTTTGTCTTTATCTGTATTATATTTGTAACATTAAACTTATCAATAAAATTAATCTAGGAGATTCTAATGAATTAATATTTAGTTTTGAATAATACACCATGACATAGAAGTTTTATTTATATACATATGGAGACACATCAAATCCGATCGTCATACAAAGGACGTGGGTGCGGGTGTAAGTGTGGGTGAAACTTTAACTTTCAGAGATCGTTGACGAGTTTTATATTTTTAGGAAAAAAAGGGGCCGATTTCGGGTAGAGCCCTGCGGTTCCGAAAAAAATAGAACCGAAAACCGAACCGGAACCGGAGTTTTTCAATTTCTGTTATCCGAAACCGGAACCGGAACCGTGAAATAAAAGATGATGGAACCGAAACCGGAACCGGTGGAACCGAAAAATATTTTTAATGGTAGCTAAAACACTATTCAGATACAACATAATTTTGTTTTCTTTTGGACCATATTGCTCTTTTAATGAAATAATAAACTTCAACGATCTTAAGAATAAAATGGGAGAATTTCTGAAAAAAATCGATGTTTTAATATTTTGTATATTATTGTAAAATTCCCGGTTCCCAAAACAGATTTCAGGAACCGAACCGGAACCGGAGTTTTTCAATTTCTGCTATCCGGAACCGAACCGGAACCGCAGGGCTCTAATTTCGGGGCCTAACGTTCCTCCTTCTTTATTTTTCGAAAACATTCACATATATCCATGTATAATGTATTGTTCGAAAAAAACCATCATTAACTGATTTCTTTTACTAAATTGTATAGAAATCAGAAAATGTTCTGAGGTTTCAATAGTTATTTGTTGAATCAGCAATACGATATCGTACGGAACTATTTTCGAATAAATTGGATGTTATGGAAGTGTGAACAAATTTAGGTAAATAATCGACAATTACAATATAACAATATTTAATCGTGTTGATCTACTCAAAAATATCAAAGAACAAATTTAATATTTAAAATCATTAAATTTTCATAAAAATTCATCCGATAGATAATAATGTTTGGCTTTATATACATGATTTTACGAGTTAAACAAGTTTGAATTGTAAGCAGATTATTTTATAAAACAAAATTTGAAGTAAAACGTGGTATTGAAAGAAACGAAAAAATTTTGGTTGCATTTTATCATAAAGAAAAATAAAGGTAAGAAATTCGTTTGTTATTTTAAAATGCATAGAAACTCTTTATTTGTACAATACGAATATTTTGCCTAGGGTAAAAAACCGTCTTTTTCTTCATTACTTCTACCGAGAATATTAAAAGATATGAACTCTTATTCGAATAGTAGATCTAAATGACAAAGACGAAATTATTTTTCAGATTGAATAGAAAAAAATATTTATTCAATGTAATTAAGTCTAGCTGGAAGACAAAATAATATTTTATGCATAATTTATAATTTATTTATTTTAGAATGATTATATGAAATAAATTTCAATATTAAAATGCCATCTATTTTGTTCAATATTGTTTCATCAACATCAAAACTTAATCTATTTCAATATATTATTTTATTAGGTTGTGTTATTTATATTATTGATTATATATCTTACAGGAACACACGCGTTCAATGGTATAAAGATCAATTTGTAAAGCTTACTTTAAACGCAACAGCTATGCCAATGTCATATCATCGTTTATTAATCCATGAAGAGGGTAAAGATATAAGATCCCTATATTATCGTGATGTAACAACGTATCGAAATTCATCATATCCATTTATTAGTGGTGATACATTTCGTGCATTATCTGATCATGTATATGATGAGTTAAGAAGAGATAAATTAGACAGAGTTAGTTATGGTGATATTGTTTTTCTGAAAGGTGATATGCTTCATAAATTTTTTTCTGGACCATATTTATTAATAAACAATTCATTTGTTCTTATCTCACATAATAGTGATCGTTCAGCACCAGACATGTTTAAAGGTATATTAAACGATGATAGAGTTATAGCTTGGTATGCATCCAATCCTGATTTAAAAAATCATAAGAAATTATTTCCTATTCCAATTGGACTTGCGAATACACAATGGAGATCAGGAAATTTTACTGCAATAATGCATGCATTTAAAAATTATCGAAAACCTTGGTCGAAGCGATCAATTTTATTGTATGTTAATTTTTCTGCTGATACAAATCGAAATCAACGTATGGCAGCTCTTTTACAAGCAAAAACTTTTAAAAATGTTACAATTATTGAAACATTCATTTCATTTGATGCTTATTTACAACAACTTGGTGATGCGAAATTTGTTTTATCACCACCTGGTAATGGACTCGATACTCATCGAACATGGGAAGCATTGCTAATGGGTGCTTCACCAGTAACTATTACGAGTGAACTCGATTCTTTATTTAATAAAACAACGGCAATTATTCTTCCAGAATGGAAAAATCTAACAGAAAAGTTTTTATTATCACGTAATTTAGCATCTTATGATAACTTAATGCCGACGGTTTTATACGCTCGATATTGGCGAGAAAAATTACGAAAATATCGTTCTCAATGATATATCAAGACTTTTATTTTGTTATGATATATTATTCTACAGGAATATAATAAAAATCTATCTGAATTAACTTATACAAGAACAGTATTATTTTTAAAATCAGATCAAATTTAACGATGAACAGTTTTTCTGTGGCTAATCCTAATCTCCTATCGTAACAGTTCTAATGTGTATATATTAATCGATAATTTATGATAAGAGTAAAATACATAGAATTATTGATATAATCAAAATTTATTTCGTTTCGGAAAGAGTAAACAAGTTCATGTCGTTAAGACCAAATGTCCTTTTCATTTCCTCCGCCGATTTAAATAAGCAATACTTCAAAAATATTTTTTTTCAATAGTCATGAAAATAGAAATAATGTGTAAACGGAAGCTTAAATGTCCTTGTGAATGTTTTTTCTTTCTAATATCTATATGAGTCATTATCGAAAAACTAATTTATTAAATAAAGTCATTATTTTTCTACCAAAATATCTATAAATGACATTTTGATTAATCTTACAATGAACATCTGTCAAAACATAGCAACAACAACAAAAATGAATTTATGATCATATCTAAAGAAAATACAAAAATTTTTATATTACCCATTTGATTGATTATATTTTCTAATCAATACAAGAAATTATGAATGGTTTTTAGTCATAACAAAAGAAAAATATAATGACCGATACTTTTATAAATATATATTCCAATTTGTTTGAAAAGTGCCTAGAAGATTTTTTTTGTATATCTCCTGATATTAATTCTTTCTATTTTTAATCTTATGCAATACAACACATTTATTCTTTAGAGGATTCGTATCATTGAATATTGTTGGTTGAGGTAGAGAGGAAAAAAAAAGAAATAGAAATTCTGATTATAAAAAGCAAGCAATCAATCGATTGAATGTTTATCACGTTAGTCTTTTATTTCTACCTTATTTTCGATCGTGTGTTTCTCTTCCTTTTTCTTTTCTCTAGTAACTAGATTAGTTCCGTTTCTTTTCTATTTTGTCGACCTATACTTATGTCCTGCTTTTCAAGAAACGACAATAACAACAGTAACGAAGCATTTTTCCGAACTTAATATTAATTTATTGAGTAATCATTTTACTACTCTTGATTCTGTCGTTTTTCTTTTGTCAAAAATTATTATCGGAAAATACTAAAAGAGAATATCCAGTACTATTTTTCTTTCTTCTTAAAAAAGCACCTATAAAAAAATAATAATATACTCTTTCTTTCTTTCTTTTGCGTGCATCATAACGACAAATGATATTTGATGTATGCTTATTGTCCCTATAGAAGGAAATGTTCAGAAAGTGATCGGTAGATAAGCACGTGATATTATTGCGAACGATCAATATTATCTTTTTTTTGATTTTAAAAATGTATGGCTGGTTCCAATACAAAATTATGACCAGCTTATATTTCATGTTTTTACTTGCTCAATTCATTCTTATCATTGGTATGATTTTTTTTTATCAATTATTGTATGTTATAATCTTCAAAATTTTAGACAGTGTCAACTCAGAAAATCCATCGACTAATCGTCAGATGTGTACAAAGGTATGTTATTGAATTCATTGATTGAGAGATGAGATATTAATCATATGAAGTTCAGATAGTAAATAGAAATTCTTTTTCAAATAAAATGTGAGTTCAATAAGAATATTGCGTTTATGTTATTTCCGAGGTTGATGATTAAATATTTATTTTTATTGTATTTTAAGTGCAAAATCTAATAGTAAAAGTTCAATTTATTACTAATATGTAATATATTAATGAAATGAATTTTATGTATGATTAAATCGATTCGAAAGAATTCAATTGTAACATTGAATTCCTTAGAGTGTTTTTTAATATCTCACATATATATTTTACAAATCGCTTAGCAATATACATGTCTCCATAGTCTACTATTATTAATCACATGTATAATATAAAAAAAAGAAAGAAATTTCATTCTAGTGTTAAAATAATTTTCCAATCGACCTCGAGATGTATTCTCTATCATTTGATTAATACAAAAAAGAAAAGTTTTACTATCACATATTCATCATGTAAAATTTACATGGTAACGAAATGCTTTTGTAGCGCAAACTCTACACTTTTAGAAAATATAAGAATCATCGTAGACTAAAAATTGAATCTAGAAATTTTAGAAGAAAAGTATTTTTTTTCGAGTATATAGTGGTTTGAAAAAGAATTGGAACAATTTGAGCGTACAAACATTCAGTGTTTTCTGGATTTTTTGGCGCGGTAGTTATAGATTCATACTTACGAGACAATCTATTAAAAACATCAATTTTCTTTTTTATCGTTGTATAATGATAGCCTGATGTAGCAAAGACGGACAGTGTAAAATCATGTAATATTCTTGTATTACATTATTAGTCAATGGGAATTCATTCTACCACCAAAATCTACTGGTATACAAAGATAACATTGTCTACAACCAGTTATTAATTTAATAAGTTTGAAAGTCAAGGTTTTTTAGAATACCGAGCAGTCTAGGATCACAAAAGTATGATTAATGTAAAATCCAGCCGAAAAATCGAAGAATTGATTAGACGAAATAAAGAGGTGATAGTGGAAAAATAACGGGAACAATATAAATTCACTAAAACCTCTTAGTGTTTGTATAAAACTGAATATTATTATTGGAAAAATTATAATCAGTTTGATTAAAAGCAAATGTTTCTCGGTTAGTGAATAAAATAGTTGAATTAGAGTGTGTCACAGGCTGAAGATTTATTTTTGCAAACCACTGTATAACTCTTGTGATATATTGAAAAATGTTTCGTTTAGCTTCAATCAATGCTTTCTTATGGTAAATATCAAACATCTCAATTATCATCAAATATAACATATGTACCACGTATTTATGCTCAAAATTTTCTTGCTTATTCATCAATGGATGATTTATTAATATTTATTGAACCCAAACATCAAATACATGTTTATAGTGCACAAACTATTCAATTAATTGTTAATATAAGCACAACTGATGTTGTTATTGCATCATCATGTCAATCATTAATATCTGAATCTCCTCATGAATTATTTTTTATCTATATTAATCATTCATTAACAAATTTAATTGGTTTACGTGTATGTCAAGTACATTTTGATATCTATAAATTAAATTTTATTCCAAATTATTGTATTGAATTAATCAAACTTCAATATGATCAACCAAATTTACGTTTATATGGTTTTACAATAAAACGTGATCATGCAGGAACAGATAAATCTCTTTTATTTATATCAACAGAAATTGGTATAATCTATGCTATATTTGAAACACGTACAGGTGTTTTATCTAATGAACCATTAATTCTTAATGAAACATTAAATGAAGGTAGTATAGTTTTATCAGCATCAAATTCAATTTATTATGCTAGTAAACAAGAACATTTAATATATGAATTACGTATAACACGTGATTTTCGTTTATATTATGGAAATATAACTAAAACAAATGCAATTAAATCTCCATTTGGTTTAGTTGCCGATGAATGTAATCATTTGTAAGTTTATTAATTGATTTGAAGAATTTTATTTCAATCTATTTTTTGTCAATAGATATATTGCAACACGTTCAATGATATTAATTATGTATGTTCAAGCATCTGTAACAATACGAAGTGTATTTTCTAAAGCATCTGATTTACCAATAACACTTGAACGACTTAACGCAACTACATATGTTTATGCGACAATAAAAAGACATTCAACTAAATCACGACCTTATTGGATGTTTAATTTTCTTTATTTTATTGGTAGGATTAAGAAAAATATTTTTAAGAATTTATCGATTGTTTTTTCTTTTAGAGCCAGAAAAGAATCTTCCTGCTACTCGACATCCTGGTAAGAATATTTTTATATTTGCTTTTGTTATTGTGAATCACATGTTAACCTGCTTTAACCATCACTATCCTTCCCTTATTGTCTATAGTTTTTAAATTGGATGATAAATTGGATGTTGATATTAGAACAATTAATGAAGCGAATATACCAGTACTTTATCCATTATCGTATTCGTTATTATCAATGACAAATACAACAAAAATATATACACAATTTTCGTCAACACAAAGACAACCTTTTGCACGATTTAGAAAAAAGAAAAAGTTAAATTCGGATCAAACAAATAATTCTGATGAACAAGAAAAGTCATCAACAATTAGAAATGATTTATCTTTGAATGAACAATCGAAATCTGATTTACCAGATGAATTTCAATCTACGGATTTTGACGATGATCCTGAAAATATTGATGATTCACAATTCGATTTTCCAGAACCAACAACAACTCCAATAATCGATGAAGAAAATCAGTTTGAACCAACTACAGAATTAGTCACATTACAAAATGACTCAAACAAAAGAAAAAACTTGACTTTAAGTCAAGACGAATCTCAAGAACAATCATCTGATGAACAACTGATTTCAAATCAGTTAACTACTACTACAATAAATCCTCAAGAAACTCGATTTCCTGATACGGATCTCTCGCAATACTTTAAAACAAACGAAAATTTATCGTTGCGTGATAAAGAATTATTATATAATTATTTAACAAAATATCCATCATCCGATTCAAAATCGCTAAATGACACGTTTCACATAGGAGAAACATTATTTACCAAAAATGATTTACAATCCTATCTAGAAGGTCGTACAAATCTCTCGCAGACTCAAATAGCTCAGATACAAAACTATCTAGCTCAACAATTATCATCTGATCCAAATCGATTTTTAAAAAACATAACAAGTACTAAACGACCAAGAATACACGATAACCATCGACACGAACAAGATCAACAGGGAGAAGATTATTTAGAAGAATTACTACCATTAGATCCTACGTATTTGAATAGCACAAAAGATTCAGAAAAAATATTATTTACAGTTGATGATCTACGAGCATATTTACAAGGAAATGAGAATTTATCACCAGCTCAACAGAAACAAATCGAAGCTTATCTTGAAAGACAATTCTCACTCA